CAGGACAACTGACCTCCCCTCGAAGAAAAAGAGGGATGTCAGCCGAATAACTGCAGTAAGTTTTCTCACTAAACTAGAGCAAGAAAGTAACGAAGCATTTACTCTGTCACTACACAGTTTTTATAAACGAGGGGATAAAAAATCCTGAGAGCAACCCAGATAAAATCCCTGATGGAAGTAAGGAGGCTCACGCCTCTATAAACTTTAGCAGGTGGCAACTGTCAATACATGAGGGTGATTGTGGCGACCTCATTAGGGCCACCACCTTAGGACCACAGCCAATTTAACCTACCTACCGTCCATTTTATTTTAGCTAGCAATACCCAATTGGAGTATTAAATGTATCCTTATAAATCAGGTGCTAATCTGAAAATGTTCATAACGTTTTCTCTAGCTAACTTACGCAATTTAACTAATTGGCTGACTTTTGACTTCCTTCTCTATAGCGTGTAAATATCAAACATTTTAAATAAACTTGATCTACTATGCTATGACATGACTATATCGCTTCTGCTATTGGTGCTGACCAAGAATATATGAAAATGTCTGCTTCTGCCTGTAACATACTCATTTAGTCTTTGTGTCGATTTTTATACCCTCAGAGTATACAAATTTACATCAAGACTTAATGAATACGTTTTCCGCTATTTTGGTAAGTTCCACCAAACCTTCGGAAAATTGATGTTTGCAACGTTTTTTTTGAATCGATAAACTTAGTCAGGGCCAAGACATAACTGCTGAGCCTTACTTTGGATACCTGTTTTTAACTGTTACATAGCAGCGAAAGCTTAGCCCATACATTCTCAGACCCCATTTTCGTCAACATATCTGCATTAGACTTTCAAGCTAATTTTCCACAATTTTTGGAAGGATTTTCCATACGTCCTTTCCATCCCAAAAGTAATTGCAGTGAAAATATAGCTTTCGGTATCTTAGAATTTTGGGTTGTGTGTTGATCTCCAAGACGCAAATCGGGGCAAATTGTTTTGTACGCATAGATATTACGATCTCGATAACGACGACGATTGACTCTATATAGGTATTTACGTTTATTTGCCCACAGTACTGTATATTAATAATCATATCTTAGACCAATTTGGTAAGAATATATTTTAATCGACATTTCTCAACGAGAGGCATTTTTCCATTGATATATCGGTACCCTGCGTTGGAAATACGTAATGACGAGTATGATTTGTGCAAATGTATGTAACAGGCAGAAAGAGACATGTCCGACCCCATGAATCTCTATATATAAAACTGTTTGTCCTGACTGACTGACTGACTGACTGACTGATTGGTGATCAACGATGAAGACGGGGTTTCGGGAAATTCTACCCGCAAGTGTGGAAAAATCGCGAAAAACGTTTGTATGTAACTTTTTTGTTTACCATCCGATCGGCCTCAAATTTATTTTCAAACGTCTTTGTTCAAATTCATTTGAGGGGTGTTTCACACTTTTAGGAAAATCTGTTCCTCCTTGGTGGAAATGGGGGTCAAAAATTTGGTGGGTGACGTTTCGCCCTCAAATTTATTTCCAAGTATCCATATGAAAATTCATTTGAGACGTGTTTTTCACTTTTCGCAGAATTCAAACTTCTTCGGGGGGAATGCGATTCAAAGATTTTTTGGGCGACGTTTTAAGTTGTGTCCGATTTGCTTCAAACTTATTTTCAAAGCTCTACATAAGAACTTTATAAATTCGTATTTCAGCGATTTGGGAAATTCCACCCGCAAGAGTGGTAAATTGGCGGATAACGGTTGTATGAAAGTTTTTTGTTAACGATCCGATCGGCGTCAAACTTATTTTCAAAGATCTTTGTTCAATTTCATTTGAGGGGTGTTTCACACTTTTTGAAAAATCCATCCCTCCTTGGTGCAAATGGGGGTCGAAGATTTGGTGGATGACGTTTTGTGTTCAAATTTATTTCCAAAGATCTATAAGAAAAATCATTTGAGACGTGTTTCACACTTTTCGCAAAATCTAAACTCCTTCGGTGGAAAATGCATTTCAAAATTTTTTTTGGTGAATTTTAAGTTTGTTTGATTCCCGTCCGATCAGTTTCAAAATCATTTTCAAAGCTTTTTGAAAACATTGATTTTATAACATACGTGCCACGGGCAAGGCCGGGTTATACCCGAGTGTTTTATATATCAGGACGCCGAGATTAATCGAGTTAGCCACATAGATGCTATTGGAATTAATATTGGGCTAAAGAATCAATTTTTTCTTCACTACCCATACGAGACTTCTAAAACAGTGAAAAGGTAGAGAGGAGGGAGAAAATATTAAATTGACTGAGGGTACAGGGCATTTTTAGTCCGACTAAGCATTCTTACATGTTTTATTTATCACCAAGCTATAACTTAAAGTTGTGTCAGAGCTTTAATTAGAGTGTGAACTGTCCTTAACGACTTTTAAAGTACCTAATTTTGTTAATTATATATCATTTGAAATTAGTAGTTGCGTGTTGTTCTAACGATATTCCATCCCTATCAAGTTCTTTGTTTAAACTCATTACTAAATTTTTTCCGCATGAAAATAGCATTGGTGGGGTAAATATCCAGTATTAACACCTTGTAAGCATAAATTCATTAAGAAAATATAAGAAAAAATATAATAAATAGGAAAAAAGAGTTATTAAAAAAGTAAAGAAATGTATACTAGTATATAGATTGTTAAGTAAATAGGATAAAGACATAGTGACGAGAAATCACCGACCCGCTGGGGGAAATTTATAGCCTGTCCGGTAAGCTATGCCCCTACCCATAGCTGGGAATGGTCAGGGATTTCCCGAATGTATCCTGAAAGCAACGATTTTCTTAGGGGGAGAGAAAGTTCGATGGTGAAAACTATTGTAATCTTTGCATAGTACACGAAAAGAATTGTGCATAGCGCTATATGTTGTGCACGTAGGTTCCTGGTTTGAAGGGAGCAGAGAATTGAAGACGCCCTAACAGAAAAAAAAAGAATCTATGTCGCCATCAATAAAGTTATGTAGGAAGACTACTCCAAGGAATGTCCAACGGTTGGTTAACGACAGAAGATCAAGAAGTAGATGGCTACTGGAGTATGATGGCAACCGAAGAGTGGGTTCCAAATTTAAACCTCGTAAGGCAAAAAGCTGAAATTAATTCTAAGCTGACTCAATACGATCCTGGCTATTATTATACTGCAGAGACCAGATGCAAGAGCAGTATTCAAGGATAGGGCGAACAAGAGAGACGTAGAAGTTGGGTTATTTGGCCTCATTAACGATGGTATATGAAGATTGAAACAGAGTTTAGAATCAAAAAGAACGCCTTGGTCGTTAACTGTTAGCATATGGTTATTAACCGTATAAATGGTTATAAACTCACATAAATAGCCGTTATAATCTTCGGTAAGTGTATCTTGTCCCATCAAAAATGAGTAATAAAGGGTATAATGGCTTAAGCAATTATATGTTACAGGTAAAAGGTGTCATTTCCGACCCAATACAGTATACATATATGTATATTCTTGATCCGGACGATTCGTTCGTCTGTATGAGCTCGTCGATCTCGGAAAGAAGATCCGCAAAACGAGTTTATTTTTATTTGTCAGTATCTCGTCACATTTTCAGAATCTTTAAGCATAACTCGAAAAACTATAAGAGCTCGATGCATCAATATGTAGGCTTTCGATAAATCGCCCCATACCCCCAAAATTGAAAAAAAAACAATCTGTTTAATTAGTCCTAGCAATCAAATAATAGTGAAAAACTGTAAATTTTACTATTTTATTTTACCTCCTATCAAATCTAATCTAATTATCAAATATCTATATAACCTTTTATCTTGTATGTTTATCAAAGATTGCGAAAATACGATATATTGGTCGGAAATAATAAATTAAATGATCCATTGGGCTGCAAAGAGGGGAAAAAGTGATGGAAAAAATTAATGGAAAAATGTTTGAACAATAAAAAATTTGAGCTGTAGCAAATTAATTCATACCGGAAGTAAAAGATGAGAGACATTTTACCAATTATGTTTATTTCTTCGCAAGCAGAAACATATAGTAAATTTAAGTATATGCATATGTTTTAATTTTCAGTTTCTGATGTATGCCTCTGTATACTTTAATTAAAGAACAGCTAGGCAATCGATTTTCAATTAATGACCGCGGCTTCTGAAAGAAACCCATCTAGAAGTCCACCGAACCTGAACCAGATTTTACAGCTCTCTATTTAATTAGAAATACGTTTGGCGCGCCAGTATCAGGCGTTTGGCTGGTTTGGGCACTGGGGAGGACCCAATGCAAATTGTAAAACACGTTGTTAATGCTATGCAAATTTGCAACTTGGCCTAACAAATGCACAGTGAAGAACCGAAGCATGAACGTCGTTCTTATCTATAATGATGCTGCCGCTTAGCAGGTTCTGCACCTATAAATTGTTGTGCCCGATCACAGAATTGTTGCAGTCTTGTTGCAAGCCTTACCCAGAGCGCACATAGCTAGTTAAAAGCATAATAATATTTTGTTATTGTACAGTTACATTTAAAAATGTTTATTTCAAGAAGTTGGGGAATTGAGCTCTGGCTCCAGTTCCTTTTGCTGGCAGTACTAAATTTTACCTGTTCCCCAGCCTATATTCGTACGTTTTAATTGTTTTTAACATGTTTGGCATTGATTATTTATTTATTGTGATTCTTTGCGACCTGTAGAGCTGTCGAATGAATATATCAATGACTTAAGAGCCGATGAAGCAGCCGAGCAGGCAAATGGAGAGTATAACTATGATCAACAAGGCAATGATTGGAAAGGAACATGCCAAGAGGGACTGCTGCAATCGCCCATTGAGTTAATCTATAGCAAGGTAAGTAACAAATAAACTTCAGAGTTCTAGACTTTCTAGCCATTTCTTTCGTGCCATCTCTTAACAGGCTAATGTGACCTCCATACCTCGTATACGGTTTTACAACTACGATCAGCCATTGCAGTCGCCTTTAGTCCTGACAAACAACGGACACACAGGTGTGCGAATATTTAATTTTATTGCTTTAATAATATTTAAGCATATTACAATTCACTTCAGCGAACATGGTTTTGCCACCCACCCGTAATGGGCAGCGTGCATACATCAATGGTGGCTTATTGCCAGGCAGCTTTGAAGCACAAAGTGTTCACTTTCATTGGGGTTCCCCCAGCAGCAAGGGATCCGAACATACTATCAATTATGAGCGTTACGATGTCGAAATGCACATTGTTCATAAAAATACTCGATATGCCGACAAAACTGTGGGAGAAGCCAGTATGTTTGCGGATGGTCTTGCTGTTCTGGGTGTCATGTTTAAGGCTGTGCCAAGGCTGACCTCGCAGCATACTGGACTAATTAGGATCTTTAATCAGTTACCTCTGATTACTGAATACCAGACCAGTACAATGGTAAATGGACGATTAACCGGAGGCCAGTTGCTGGGTAACATTATCACTGGCAGGTTTTACTCATATAACGGTCTGTATTCGAAATCAATTTTTATATTTCTACATACATTATTAAATCAAGTATATATGTAAACATTGCTGTATATACATATATGTAGGATCATTGACCACGCCCGACTGCGCCGAGTCCGTTACTTGGACTGTTTTCCAGGATGTTGTCGAGCTACCTAGACGACAGATCATGAAACTTTGGAATTTGCAGGACTCACGCAGGTATCCTTTAATAAACACATACCGCGAAATTCAGGATACAAATGATAGACCAGTTTACTATAGAAATCTGCAATAAAAATATATAAATAAAAAACACCTAACACCTATGAATGTTATTTAAAATATACTTGACATATGAAACTAAAACTCTTGAGTTTGACATTTAATTTTAAAATAATAACTAAATTTCAATTTAAGCTAAATCGGTAGACATTCTCAAATGAATTATGTATTGAGAAATTATGCAAAGTTAAGTCATTTCAATTATGATCAACACGGAAAGGACTGGAAAGTAAACGGTGGCAAGCAACAATCGCCTATTTCTTTGATTAAAGACAAAGTAAATGCTATTTTGATGCTCATGGTTAACTTTTACAAATTGTACAAATATTCATTAGGCTGTTTGGTCCAAGGCTCCAAAGTTAAGCTTTCTTAACTATAACAAGACACTTTCCGGCCCTCTAAAAGTAATCAACAATGGACATACCTTGACAATGGCAATACCACCTATAGATGATGGAGGCCAACCAGCTGTTTGTGGATGTAAGCTGAAAAGCATATACAAAGCTGTGCAGCTACATTTTCATTGGGGTTCACTAAAAAACAAAGGCTCTGAGCACACCATTAACTCCCAGCGATATGATGGCGAACTGCATATTCTTCACCAGAATAGTGCATACAAAGAGCAAAAGGACGCCATTCGCTTTTCCGATGGCTTCGTGGTATTGGCAGTAATGTTGAAAATTGTACAGGTAAGTTAGGTATTGCATTATATTGGCTTACTTAAAAAATAATATTTTTATTAAGAGCCCCACACTTCAGCCACGGGCCTTAAATAAACTTTGTAGTGAGGCGGCTATGATCAGAGACTTTAATAAAGCTTCAACATTCAATGGTAATTTTACCTTAAGAGATATTTTAACTGGTATAGAAAGGCGAGAGTTTTTTACCTATAAGGGTCAGTATACTATTCACGTATCATATCGAACGAAATTACGCAATTGTATTTATTTATAGGCTCGCTTACAACACCACCTTGCTCTGAGGTCGTCAATTGGTTTGTCTTCCCAAAACATATTGAAATATCAAAAAAATATGTGAGCTAAAAAGCCGTTCGTAAAGTATTCCACTATTAATATACAACATTGTAGTTACGAAACCTGTGGCTGTTGACAGACGACCGTGGAAAGCCTCTGGTAAACAATTATCGTAATTTACAACTTATATACAATCGGACTGTGTATTATCGATGTGAAAAGGCTTCCTAATACTGCACAATACTTTAAATACAACTAACGGCTACTCTGATGCTCATCGGTGGTTGCAGCAAGTTGCATCAACAATTATCGATTTAAAAAAGCATCGTTAATGCATTAAACTGGAATGGTACCACAACTTTTTCTTCAATTCGATTGTACTTACATTAGAAACGTCTTTTGAATAATACATATAAAATATTTTTACTGGCTTTGAATTAGTGAACTCCTATATATAGTATTGTTATGTATTCAAAACTTGCACAACTCAATCAACACAAACAAATACATAGCTGTCTACCAACAATAAAAATTTAGAGCCCTCCTGCTGAAAACAATTGCTCGTTTTTTTCACTTTTAAATTACTATAGTGTCATTCATTTATAATGAAAATATCAAAGTGCCAAAACAATTTTAAAAATCACCAAATTTCATGAAATAGAATATAAAAAGTCTAGAAACAGTCAAGATGAAATGTGAGGACACTGACAGACGCGATAAGTTGCCCATCGTCTTTTCCAAGAATTATTCCGTGCGCTTTGCTGGTCTTGAAAAGCTTCATCCTTTCGATGCAGCCAAAGGAAAGCATATACAACAGGTATATTCATACCTATCCTTAAAGTATACATAAATACCTTTTCATTGCATTATGTTTTCAGTTGCTATGTGCTCAACTTTCGCTTGAATGCGGTCATTTCTACGACCCACTTGAGATTACCAAAAAAGAATTGCTACGAGTACACACTTCCAAGTATTTGAAGTCCCTCAAATGGAGTGCCAATGTAGCTTGTATCGCAGAAGTTCCGGCCTTGATGTTTTTGCCAAATTTTTCAGTTCAAAGTGGATATCTGCGTCCAATGCGTTACCAAACGGCTGGCTCAATACTGGCTGGTAAATTAGCCCTGGAATATGGTTGGGCAATCAACTTGGGCGGTGGATTCCATCATTGCTGCTCGTACAAGGGCGGTGGCTTTTGCCCTTATGCAGATATTACTTTGCTTCTTGAACGGTTGTTTGAGTTGGAGTCTTCCAGAGTACAGAATGCAATGATTGTTGACTTGGATGCACACCAGGGGAATGGCCACGAGCGGGACTTTAAGAATATAGAGACTGTCTACATACTAGATATGTACAATGCGTTTGTTTATCCAAAGGATCACGAAGCCAAGCTCAGCATTCGTTGCGGTGTAGAGTTAAAGCATTTGACAGAAGATGCTTACTATTTAAGGCAATTGAACCGATGCCTGATGCAAGCACTCGCCGAATTTAAGCCAGATGTTGTTATATATAATGCCGGCACCGATATCCTTAAAGGTGATCCGTTGGGTAATTTAGCAATTAGCGCGGACGGCGTTATTGAGCGCGATCGCTTGGTGTTTAGTACATTTCGAGCGCTGGGTATACCTATCGTTATGTTGCTTAGCGGAGGCTACATGAATTCATCTAAGCATGTAATAGCAGATTCAATTGTAAATCTGCAGCGAAAGGGATGGTTAAGTTTGCATTCTTAACTACATAATGCCATGACTGAAATTTGACTTAAAACTGTAAAAATATTGGACACTGTAAGAACGAATACCTCATAAGGAGAATCAATGTGCTGTGAGAAATTGTCAACTGTGCGGTATTAAGTAGAACGACTAGACGTTAAAAATGAACAAACAATATTCAAAAAAAAATATCTAAATAATTTTATTTCTGCTTTTTAAAATAAAACATCAAGATTAAAACTTAGCATAAAGATTAATTATATGCATTAACTGCGACCTTATTTATTGGCCTCCTTATAGGTTCAGTTTTCTGCTTATTTTTATAAATTCTAGTATTAAGCAAACAAGACAAGAAACAAAAACATTTCCATAGATATCCTTTAATTGCTAATTATGATACAAAAATACTCTAATTGCTTGTAACGTCTTTTAAATACAAAAGCTTATATAAACAAATATTTATTTTCTAGCACTTAAAGTAAGCAATTGGAATATAAGGTATCTGTTAGAGGTTTTTAAGTTATCATGGGTTATACATAATAGTTATTGATTATTGCTATGAAATTTATTCAAGTGTTTTTGTGGTTTTTCTTATATTAGGTTTTCCTATTAGGTAGGGAGCTTCCCGATTGTCCTGCCACTAACAGGCCGTTGGCGGTGGCAATCTAGAATTGCAAGTCAAATGAGGTTAATACAAAAGTTAATTATAAATTTAAATCGGGTCACTAAGTATTTTGAAGTGAGAATTGCATGCACAGCTAATAGTTATGTAATAAAGGCGCTCTTGTGGTTTTTGCTGCAGGGCCAACTTCAAATACATCAATTAAATAATCTAAAAATAACAAAGTTAGTTGAAAATTAAGAAAAAAAATAGAAGGAATTGAGAGCAAAATATTGTGTGAAAAATACATGAAATTAATAGCGATATGACCCAATCCAAGTTTAAAATGGTTACCCCCTTGGTCTACGGAGATGTGTAGGTAGAGTTGTTTTTTAAAACTTACGCCGCATTACTAGCAGGCACATCCTCAAAGAGCACCTCCCAGCGTGAGCTGATAATATATATTAAACAGAAGGAAATTATAAACACCACGATGCCAATGCTTAGAGTGGTTATTTCATGCACATTTGACGGACGTAGGAAGATACGTGCGCTGAACTGTGACCAAGTGGATTCAGTCCATGTAGAGTATTGCCCTGAACGCCAATCGTAGTCTGTAATGCAAAAATCATAGATATCTTCGAATCTGACAACTCCCAAATAAACTTAGTACTTACCTTCAATGAGAAATGCCGGACTTAGTGCACTTGTAAAATTCTGCGTTGTACGACGACACTCTCCAGTGCCATTGATGCCGGCAAAATAAAATAGTGGTAGCTGACTGCAGTTTTCTTTTGGCACATTTGGCTCCGGATGTGAGAGCAGATAGCCGAGCAGTCGATATGTCCAACCCGATGATTCTTGTGAACCACCCAGTACACTTATGTACCTACACATTCGATAAACACATGTTTTGATTGATTTCACAATTTACTAGAATTCTTTAGCAATGATACTTACCGCATAGGCGGCAACGGTAGACCGGCTGGACTGTTCGGATATGAAGAAGCTTTAAAAAGAGGACAATCGGAAGATTGCAGATAACAGTAGAAGAACTCATCGGCCAGTATTGAATTGGCCACTTCATTGCCTTGGTATTGTTTGCCCGTTAAAGTCTCATAAAGCGTCATTGCCACTATGGATGAGACATTGCGCACCTTCATTTGCAAGGAATCGGAGTCGAAGTATTTTTTATCGTTTATATCAGCCAATATTGTAAAATCTTCGCTCGTATTGGCATATATAAAGGCCACGTTATCAAGATCATCATATATGGAGTGATAGTATTTATTGCCTGGCACAGCGTTTAAGATTAATGCCGGAAACTTGGTTTCGCGACGCAAAAAGGATTGCGCTGATGTGGGTGGTATTTGATAGCCCACGTTTGATTCGATGTTAACATTAAAACCATATCGCGGTGACTTGGCGTATCGGTTGAGCTTTTGCAACAATTGCTGAGCCAGCGGCGTTGAGGTAAGTGTGTGAAGCTTAATATTTCCTATGTCGTCTAGTGTGCCAATATCCAGCATAAACTCAATGTTTTCAAATGAAATAGGAGTACTAAGTGTGGAGCGGGTAGGAAAAGCCAGATGTTCAATGTCGTAGACAAATCGCTGAGACCCAATGTAGTCATAAGACTCGCCATTAAATGCCACAAAAAGCACATTGCGTTTCGGATCAGGCAGCGTGCTCTGCGCAGGCAACAGTAGGCGCAGCATATGAGCCACTTGGGTTAGAGTAGCCAGGCTCAGGAGCGAATCCATTGCGCCCAAACCTAAAAGTGCGACTGTAAGTAATCATAAAAAATTATCGCTATCTGTACTTACCCAGACCATCGAACATGCTTGTAGTGTCTAAACGACATGACACAATAATAAACTTCTCGTTAGCATTGACGCTGCGTGCAGCATTAGCTTCTAAGTTTTCAGGTGAATTTCGCGGATACAATGTTGCATAAACATTCCGACCCTCCAAGGGATCACAATATTTGCTGCCTCCAAGATTGTTTATAAAATTAGTACGACGCATGCAAACTTCAGAGTTAACAGCTGCTGACATAAAAGACTTTACTTCCACAGCACATAGGCTACGCAAGGCATGGGACGCATAATCAAAGTTGTTAAATTTTTCAAAACAGTTTTCCAGTTTCTCAATTTCTTCAGCATCAGCTATATAGTAAATAGGAAATGGAAAGTCCTCATGCAGAAGGCCAGTGCCCCAACGATTCCAGGTGTTGCCCACGTTGGTAGTATCGCAAGTGACGGTCTCGCTTCTGTTGTCCAATTTTAGACCGCTGTACTGATTGGGACAGTTAAGTTCATGCGAAAATTGTGACATTTTTTTGGGCCTGTTGATTAGCAGTACAACGGATATTATTCTCGGTCCGGCTTCTTTGAGACGTAGCAGGTTGGCTCTTGTAAACAAATGTGGTGGAATCAGGGGAGCGTAAGGAGGTGACGGAGGACTACTGATCAAAAATTCCAAGTCTGCTTCTAAATTTATCAAGTGCAGCACCCCAACTGAACCAGAGTATGTTGCTGTTGTGGAATATAATTCAAAATTATGATTCTCTTTCGCCGGTCCATCCGCCAATGAGCTACTTACATGAGCATCCTGTCTGATGAGTGCCGTTTAAGCGTCGAAAGCAGCTTGCGCCTATAATAGGTTGATATATTTTATCACGCGTGCGTTCGCTAAGAACTACGGAGAACAAACAAAATGGGCTTAAGTGAGTCAGCAGCAAGATGCATACATGTCTAATGAGCAACCTTTCTAGTTATGCTCAGAATGCTTACCAATTGCGCTACTTTGAAGCAACAACAGCAGCCATATCGCAGCTGATTTTACCTCTTGTGCCATTTACTCGTTCTTTGCAGCTTATGCGCCGATGCTCCGGCGTTATGATATATAAATAATATAATATAAAGACAAGAAACTGCACATATGTATCAATGATTTTTTATACGTGTTATTAAGATACGGGTTACTTATCACAACAATTTAAATCCCGCAAGTCACAGTTTTTCAGCAATGTTAGTGATATTCCTCAAACTCATTTTTGTTTGACATTGTTTGTATAGTCGATTGAAGTGACAACTCTTTTTGCGTAATGATTTTTTATTTATCGGTCTTTTGACTTTAAAATATCAAAATATCGATATAAAAAATTATTATAGACGACAGGTTCATTGCAGTGCGGTACACTTAAATTTCCCATGCGAGGGAAATGGGTGGAAACGTAATTAATTAAAGTTTGAAGCCAAAAACTTGGCTCTACTAAAGTCGGGTGATACATGGTAGTAAATACATATGCATATAAAATATATATTTATTTTTATACCCTGAACCCATTAAAAATGGAAAAAAAGGGTATAATGTATTTGTGCAAATGTATATAACAGGCAGAAGGAAGTCTCTCCGACCCCATAAAGTATATATATTCTTGATCAGCATCAAAAGACGAGTAGATCTAGCCATGTCCGTCTGTCTGTCTGTCCATCCGTCCGTCTGTCCGTCTGTCCGAACGCAAGGATCTCAGAACCTATAAGAGCTAGAGAAATTTTAGCTGTAGGTCCTCCTAGTGCCCGCGCAGATCGAGTTTGTTTCCGATATTCGATAAGTATTTCCAAGTAATCGATAAAAATCGATATCAAAATCCTGTTTTTTGAGCAATTTGGGTATATAATAAGAGCTAGAGTCACCAAACTTGACATGTAGAATAGTATATATATATTAAGTAATTTTCATTTTATACCTATCGCCACCTCCCCGCTACCACCTAAAAGCTATAAATCATGTTAGTAAACCAACTTTTATTGCCTACCTAATTAAGCCACAATTTAAATGCAATTGTCATTTTGAGATTACACGAATATATTAGAGTACAATAAGATCTACTACTGAAAAGTTCATCAAGATCGGTTAAGAAACACGAATGAAAATGTGTGTTTGGCCTGCAAACACGTGCAGCAGCAAGCGCAAATTCCAAGAATTTCTGTATACATGTACACACACACATTCATGCGCGTCTGCTTTGAATTCTATCAACATCATTGCAATTGCGATTGTATTGTTTTCTGTGCTGCTATTTTATTTAGTTTTTTTTCTCATTAAGACTTAATTATTGGTGTGGCTATTGAGTAGACGCGGTGGAAAGTAGCGCGGTCAGTTACAAGCTCGAACAATACCGAGGAAACTTTTTTTTTTTTTTTTTTGGCTGGTGTGGCTGTTGCGTAGAGGCGGCTGCAAGTAATGCGGTCAGTTACAAGTTCGAAGCTTTTTTTCGGAGCTTCGGAGCTTTTTTTTTTTTAATTTATCTTTATTACTATTAAAGCAAAGGAGCGCGAGCTGCATTTGGTGGTGGAAGAAGAGGGTTCAGGGTATCCCATAGTCGGGAGCTCCCGACTAGAACCTCTTAGTTGTTAAATAATGGTAAGATTCACATAGGTATAATAAATGTTTTACTTTTATATTATTTTTTTTTGAAATCTCTATATATAAAACTGTTTGTCCTGACTGACTTATTGACTGACTGGAAGCTGAAAATTTCACTGTATCTACAGTGTGATGAAGGTGCGCGTTAAGACGGGGTTTCGTGAAATTCACCCAGTAAATATAGAGAAATCGCGATAAAAACGTTTGTATGACATTTTTTTGTTTACTATCCGATCGGCCTTAAACACAATTTCAAAGATCTTTGTTCAAATTCATTTGAGGGGTGTTTCACAATTTTGGAAAAATCCATCCCTCCTTGGTTGAAATGGGGGTCCATAATTTGGTGGATAACGTTTCGCGCTCAAATTCATTTTCAAGGATCTATATGAAAAATCATTTGAAACGTGTTTTACATTTTTCGTAGAATCAAAGCGTCCTCAGTAAAAAGTGCGATCCTAAGACTTTTTTACTGAAGTTTTTAGGTATGTCCGATTTGCTTCAAACTTATTTTCAGAGCTCTACATAAGAACTTTATAAATACTTGTTTCGGCGATTTGGGAAATTCCACCCACAACAGTGGGGAATTACCGAAAAATATTTGTATATAATTTTTTTGTTTACCATCCGATCGGCCTTAAACTCATTTTCAAAATTCTTTGTTCAAATTCATTTGAGTTATGTTTCACACTTTTCCAAAAGTGCATTCCTCCTTGGTGGAAATGGGGCTCAAAGATTTTGTGGTTGACGTTTCGCGCTCCGATCAGTTTCAAAATCATTTTCAAAGCTTTTAGAGAACAATTATTTTATAACATACGTGCCACGGGCAAGACCGGGTTGTAATTGATGTCTTTGCATTTAGATCTGCATTCAGCACCTTTTTTATATATGTATATACATATATACACTAGCGGATATTGCCCAGCTTGCCCGTGGTAGTTTTGTGCTTCAAATTTTAGATTCCACTCTTTCAAGCAATTCCTACCCGTGTAAAATCCGAAAACCCGTACTATCTTGCATTTCCCCTATTAATTTATATTTTTTTGAAAATAAGTTTTTGGCCGATCGGACAAAATGAAGACTTTGCCCTCACGAAGATATGTGAAAATGAGTATGGAGCCAATCGGATGGTAAGTAAAAAAGTTACGGTTACAAGTTTTCCCCAATTTTTCCATATTTACGGGTGGAATCACGAAAAAAAAAGTTTTAACGTGCACCTTAATCACATAAGGTAACTATAGTACAAATATCAGCTTCCTAGATCTTTTGGTTTGGGCTCTGCGTTGATCACCCATCAGCTACTCAGTTAGTCAGGACAAACAGTTTTATACATATTCTAGTGAGTATTGCCCGGCCGTAGAGAGTTTGGTTTTAAAAATGTTAGATACTAATTTTTAACTTAGCTTTCGGTCGCGGAAATGTTAAATCTCCACTTATACTTGAAAATATGTTTAAAGTCATCGAATAAAGAACTATGTGCTGGAATCAATGGTTTCTGCCCAGACTACTCTTGTGTTGAGAACATTTAAGCTGAAAATAAACTCTTGTTCATTTAAACTTCTTCCATAGTTTTTTATCCAAGAGAGGTAGATTTTGCAAAAAAAAAAACATTTATAACATTTTTACAAAAATCTTTGAAAATAAGTTTGAAGCCGATTCGATGGTAAACAAACAATTTCCAAATTTTCCGCAAAAATTTATACACTCATGGGTGGGGTTTCCAAAACTGCTGAAACACGTATTCTTTATGTAGTGATTTAAAAAAATAAGTATGTGTGCGATCAGACAAAAATAAAAACTTCACCCGAAAAACCATTTCCCATCGAAGCGGCCTGCATTTTACGAAACGTGTGAAATACGGCTCAAATTAATTTTTTTAAAGACCGTTGCAAATGGGACTTTATCCTATTTTTCGCTTACTCAACCTTCGATACGTTATTTCCATCCAAGAGAGGTGGATATTTCGAAAAGTGCAAAACACGTATTAGATGAATTTTTACAAATATGTTTGGAAATGATTTTGAATCCGATCGGATGGTTTTTCGGTTGAAATTATTAATTATGTTCTTATGTAGAGCTTTGAAAAAAAGATTGACGAAGCTTCTATTTCCACCAACGAGTTATTTTCCAAAACATTTCCCAAATGAACTGAAAAAAAATATTTGAAAATGTCGGATGGTAAACAAAAAAGTTTCATTCAACCGTTCTTTTCGATTTTTCCATACTTGCGGGCGAAAACACCGTCACCTGCATCGCATAAGATAACTACTGAGAAATGTTCAGCTTTCATGCTCTTACGGTTTGAGCTCTGCGTTGATCACCAATCAGACAGTCGTTTACTCAATCAATACATATAATTTTATGTATAGAGATACAAGAATAATTAGTTGCTTAGATATGTTATTTAAATTATTTATATGTTAGTCACTTCTATCTATATATAAGCTTAGGTAAAAAGAAAACAATTATTTAATACAAATATATATATATATATATATATAAATATATATAAATATATATATATATATGTTTGAATGATTTATTAATCTTAATAAAGGGCAACATTTAGAACATTTAAAATGCCAAAGATTATATTCCGTACAAGATGTGCGTTAAAATATTGTTAATATTGTTAAAAACATGTGATATAGAAATACATATATATGTATAAGCAACAAAAAGTTGATTTACTAAGTGCAAAATATTAAGTTATGTGTGTAGGATTTTGAGAGCTGATGCTTATTAATATATTTAAGTATCAGACATTTAATTAGGTTCGAGTAAACATTCGAAAACTGCCGTCTATACGAACATTCAAATATATTAATTAGTATTAACGAGACGTTAAATATACAAATAATAAAACGATTTTCAGGATTACAGTTTTTCGATGATTAAACCTCTAATAGCCTCTGTCCACTGACCACATTTCTGAAAATGTCACATTTTTGCAAAATGTGTAAAATGCGGCCTGTACGTTTTTCCATAAGAAAACACATTTCACAAATTTTTCAACAAGGTCACATTTTTGAAAAATGTGTAAATTCGCCCGAACAGTTCGTGTTTATTGCGATGATTTATCGAGTTTTCTATCGATGTTGTAAAAAATGTGAATGTGTTCATTACCATAAACAGCTGATATTGCAACGAAGGCAAGCGGTAAATTTAAATTATAAATTTAAATTTGAATAATCCCACAGTTTGCAACATTTAAAGTTGGCCAAATCCCGCAAAGAGTCCATTAAATGGAGCCCCCACTTCGTGGCCGTATTATTAGACTTTTGGAAGGAAATTTCTGCGGCGCTTATGTAAATTAAAGCAACTCGATCAGCTGTTTATTTAGAGAAGCGGTACTTTTGCCATTCGCATGTTACTGAAAACCGGTAGAACACCAATATGTGAAACATACAAATGAGACATTTCTTAAGCCCAGTGGAGAAAGGCTATAAGTAACTCCAAATGGCTGCACAGTCGGTAATTAGAGGTCTTCAAATTCAATTAAGAACATATTGTTAACGCAAAATGAGTTTA